TAACTGCTCTGTTACTATTATTTGACTATTAAGTAACTATTAAGTGGCAATTAAGTAGTGATGTTTATAAAAATTGGACAGTTTCAGCAATGTTAATTTTTTCTATTAACTTGCTGATCATGTGATTTTGAAAATGAGTACCTCTATCTAAAACAAGGTATTGTGGACAACCGTATCTATATATGATATCATGATATATAAATTCAATAATAATAGTTGCATTGGCCTTCTTTACAGCTTTAGCTTCTGGCTATTTGGTTAGATAATCAATAGTAACAATTATGTAACGGTTTTTTCTTGGTGTTAGAGGTAAAGAGCCAACAAAATCTATACCTATTCTATGAAATGAAGCAAAAATGGGAATAGAATATAATGGATCTACAGATTGTTTCTTTCCTTGCCGTTGACACTGGTCATAACAATTGACATATTCTCTAATATCAGCATACATTTGGGGCCAATAGTAAATGTTGTGAATTTTCTCAAACATTTTGTCTTTACCAAGGTGGGCTCTCATTGGATGTTAATGTGCAAGGTAAAGTATCAGCTTCACTTCATACTTTCGAATTACACGTAGTTTGTGGTTCATTTTCCTTTTGTCTTTTTTATATAATATATCTTCTTTATATTCAAAAAATTGACTTTTCCTATTTAGTCGTTGTTGTTTCATCTTGTTTAATTTAGTTGGCAGTCTTTGTATCTGTAGATAGTTTTTAAGATAGTTGTAATGCATCGACTCCATAGTTATTATTTTTTTTTTTCACACCAGGACACTGGAATTTGGGCTGGATTCTGTTTCTCAGATTTTTTTTTTTTTTTTTTACAGGCGAGATAATGCATCAGAGTTTCTATGTTTATGTTTGTTTCAATATTGTATAGTGAAATTATAAGGTTGTAGACAAAGCATTTACCGAGCTCATCTTCCAGTAAGTTTTAGGTTTTCAACCACTATAATGCCATATAATCAGTTATGATAACAAAGGGATTTAGCCTATAGTAATAATAAAAATATTCTATGACCCATATAATAGCTAAACATTCCATTTCTGTTACTACATAATTTTTCTCATGTATGGTTAACCATCGGCTTGCATAAGATATGACATACTCTTTTCTATTATCATCTTTTTGTGTGTATATAGCTCTAAGACCATGTTCAGATGCATCTGTATGAATATAAAAGGTTTTAGTAAAGTCTGGGTAATGTAGAATAGAAGCAGTTACAAGGTATCTTTTCAGTGTCTCAAATGCTTAGTTTTGTTTGCTCCCCACTGAAACTCAATACTCTTTTTTAGTAAGTGGTGTAGTGGTTTAGCAATCATCACAAATCCCCTTATAAAGTGCTGATAATAAGAGGATAGACCAATAAAGCCCCATAATTGTTTAAGATTTTTCAGTATCGGAAAGGTTTTGATTTTGTCAATTTTAGATTCATCAGGTCGGATACCTTCTCTACTGACGATATGTCCTAAAAACTGAAGGTTAGATCAAAAAAATGCGCATTTTTCTAGGTTGAGCTTTAACCCTGCCTTTCTCAATTCTTGGAAAATTTTTTTCACATGGTCTAGATGTTTTTGAAATGTTCCAGAGTAAATTATAATGTCGTCGAGATATACGACAACAAATTTTTCCATGTAAGCAGATAGTACTTTGTCTATCAGATGTTGGAACATAGCCGGGGCATTACACAGCCCAAACAGTATTACATTAAACTCGTATGTTTTGAAAATTGTTATGAATGTGGTTTTCTCTTTGTCCTCCTCTTCTACAGCGACCTGCCAATAACTACTCATCAAGTCTAAGGTGGTGAACCAATTCGCCTGGGAGAATGTCTCTAAAAGATCATCAATGTGTGGTAAAGGGTAAGCGTCCTTCTTTGTTACTGTATTCAATTTTTGGTAATCCACGCATAATCTTAATTTCCCAGCCTTTTTCAGCACCACCACTATGGGGGAGGACCAAGGACTTTGCAACTCTCGAATTAACCCTCTATCCATTAATTTTGATAATTCGTTCTTGATGAACTTCCTTACGCCTGGGGGTGCTCAATATGCTGATTGTTTGATTGATATAGCATCTCCTGTACTTATCGCATGATGAACTCTATCTGTTTGACCTAATTCTTCCATGTTTTGTGCAAAAATATTCCTATTGCCTTTTAGTAGCATTTTTACCTCTTCTTTCTCTTTCTGGTTCAACTCGTCACCAATCTCTACCTGTCGAATCATCTCTTCCACAGTGGTCTCTGGTTCTTTGGCTGTTGTGGGTAGCTCTTCTACCTGTGCTAAATAGATGGCCGGGCCTGGTAATCCTTCCTCTGAATTGATTAATGTTTCTTCGTTTGTGAAATATCCCTCTGTGTCTTTTACTTGTTCCTTCTCGTATTGTAATTGTTCTACTAGTTCTTCATCGACATCCGTGATGTCGTCTTCGTCCATGTCAGAGTCTTCCTCATTATTATTGTAAATAGGTGCCTCCACAATATTACCTAGGTAACGTAAAACTATCTTTCTTTCGTCGTAATAGATACGTGCTCTGACTTTCTCGAACCAGTCATTACCTAACAATAAGGTTTCGTCTCTAGAATCGATCACTTGGAAAGTGCATGGGATGTCAATACCTCGAACCGAAACCTTCACATTGGTGACATTCTCTAACGTTCTTGAACGTGTCCCCATAATGGTAACGACTGCAGTTGTTGACTTCTCATTTATTTTTAAGTTCAATCAATTCATCAATCTTTTCGTGATGAAGTATACGGCTGCACCAGTATCGATCACAGCTGCTATGGTTTGATCCCGGATTTTGATGCGGCATTGCATGGTGATTGTCCTTTTATTATTGGTTCTTGCAAACATCGTTTCCTCTGAAATTATAGGTCTACGCAAGGCTTTTGAGAGGTTCTTTTTTTATTCTGTGTATTGTAACATCTGCCTGAGTGTGATGTTTGCTGGAGTTGTGAATAGGTCATCGACAATGTTATATGGTGGTTCTAATTCGATTCTCGAGGGTTCCTTTTTTTTTGTGTAGTCTTCTTTTGTGCTTTGGGTGGTTCTTCCATTATTTCCGGTAGGTCTTCCTTCATGATTTCTTTGCTTGCGGGTTCTTGTATCTCCACAGATTGTTCGTCATCATTCCTTTCCACTCCGACTTGGTCCCGGAGTTATCTTTAGTATGGTTATACGGTTGATATCTTCTAGTTGTATGGTATACCTCATCCTCTTATTCCACCATTTCCACAAAACGTGCCTTGGTTTCTTGTTCCGTCATTTATGTAGGTAGGTCATTCCGCGAGTTTGTTCCTCCTGCCACACAATTTCGAGCGTAATGACCTTTCTTTCCGCACTTAAAGCAAGTTACGTTACGGATATCTACTCTGTTTCTCATTCTAAGTCCAGCTTGGGATGTCATTGTTGTGATGAGCTTAGCATAATTAGCCGCCAGCTCTTGCATCTGCTTGGTTAATTCTGCGATAGTTCCTTCTAGGGAAGTGTTTTTTGTTTCCTTTTCTGTTGTTATTCCGTAGTATTCTCCGGCTTCAATCCTTTTTGCACCAGTAATCGCTTTTTCCAGATTTCTGGGGTCAACTACTGATAGGAGTGAGGCTGTTTTTCCTTTCAATTTTCCAGTGAACATTCGCACTACATACATTTGCGGTAGTTCATTTGCAGGGTCAGCTTTTTTTAACAGTCTTCTAAATTTGTAGGCATAGGTATCCACTCGTTCTCCGTCTCGTTGGCGCAAGGTATTTAGTTCCACTTGCCATTGGTGTTTTCGTTCCGGAGTGACGAAGTATTGAAGGAATGAAAGTATGAAGTTTCTGTCAGGGTTTCTATTGTTGTTCTATTGTGTAATAACATGTCTCTGATCGTAGTATCAATTTGCAGCTATTCCTGCTAGGTAACCCGAAGCGATACTGATTTTCTGTCGATTACTCCAGTTATTGGCGTTGGTGGCTCACCCAAATACTTCCAGCCACTCAAACGGATCCTTATCATTTTCACCGTAAAAGGTTCTCACTCTAACTAAATTGCTTTCAACGTTCTCGGCAACAGCATCTGTCCTATTTTTCTCTAACTTATCGATTCTGCTCTTGAGTTCGGTGTTCTCTTCCATACCCTCCCTGTCTTCTGTATTTTTATGCAAATTTCGATTTATGAGTTACACATAAGTATGTATATATGTATAGATATCGACATATAATCTTTTTATTATTCCGATATACATTATACACTCACATCCATGCATACACGAGTTAAAAAACACAAACCTTAAACGCAGACAAACTTTATTCGAAAACTTAAAAAAAAATATAATCACGACTATATCATAAGTATATCATCTTCGATGAGAAACTTTCTGTACCCGATAGAATACGTACAGTATAATCAACTGTGATGTAAGGCAATTATTTTTGCATGCGCATTATGGTAAGTCGTGATGCCGATTTAAAGGCAAGCAACATTGGGAATCGCGATGACAAGCAATACGCAAAGCACCCTAGATATCGAGTTTGAGCCCAAGTAAGTGCATTTACGCGAAAATGTTTACAGCACAATTTATTTTTTTTTCATATACAGTATATTCGAATTACAAAGTGTTCACGAAGCGTAAAACCTAGGGATTGATTGCAAAATTTTCATTCAATTTTTGACACAACTCAATGAAGGAGATCGAATATTCCTTCGGTCAATTTGTAAGGTAATTTCTTCGTATCGGTTTGAAGGGGTAAATTAACCATATGATTTAGAAAAAGTACTTGTCTTTTTCCTTTATTCCAAGATACCTGAAAAATCCTCGATATCTACATTGGCTGTGTGGGCCGTAATCTTATTAAGTCTTAAGAGGTTGTTACAGATATCTGGAACACCAGCTTGATGTTTCACCCTTTAAGAAAGAATAATGGATTAAGCTGATGTCAAAGAATATAAGATATAGAATTATCTCATACCAAGGCAAATTCACAGCGACATTCTTGTGCCAAGTTCCAATTGCTTGACCATTTTGAAAAACGAATAGTATGTTCAGATTCATAAAATCGATTGCTCCGTTTGCAAGGAGGTTTGCAATTATAGCCCCTTGGGTCTGTCCTGCAACACCGTTACGGCAATTTGGAACGTTGGTGTCATTAAAGCCAGCCTGATTCCAATCGAACAAAAGTGCGGGCATTTCGTCATCGGTATCTTTGCCTTTTAAGTATTTGAGAATAAGAGTGACAATATCTGGATTTTGAAGAATTGTAGGGAGATTCTCAGGAACTAACACAAAATATCAATTAATGGTTTATAACGTCAACACGCAGGAAAATAATTTAACTGCTACCCACCCGTTCCACACTTTTTTGCAAGTTTGCGAAGTTTCTTTTCTTGCACTGTATATTATCAATATATATATACTGTAAGTGAAATCGGTTATAAAGAATTATTAAGAAAAAAAGAACAAATACACTTGTCGTGAATGAACTTGAAGAGATTAACGACATGTTTATAGAGCATAATAAAAAATAATAACAATATTTATTGGTATGATAAATCAAATTTTTAATCAATCACACAATAATATGCGGACTAGCCGAAAATAGTAAAATTGCTCTTTCTCTACGCCAAAGTAATAATGTAATAACGATAATAAATTAATATACATATCCACTTAATTTTTTTGTCATGACGACGACTTCTTAACTATGACTCCTGAGTTGTGACTGCTGGCACACATCTCTGAGAGGTGAAGCTTCACTTTTTCGCTTTCCTGAAGAGTGCATCGTAATAATAGAGAAAAAAGCGTGAGAATCGATTAATCCGATATCGTGCACCAAAGCAAAGAAACCTCATCGCGATGTCCCAGAGCCCCAAAACTCACCAAGTTATTGTAATCATTTATGCCGTTGTTAGGACGAAGAATTATTCGCTGATTCAGGACACCACGAATGGTTCGAACCAACTTGTAACCACGGGCGTAAAAATCGGTGATATCATTAACATCTGGTGGTCCTGTCTGTTCCTAGACAAATGTTTCTTCCTGGCTTCGCCAGAGGAGAGCCAAGCCGTTCGCACGTTTTGCACTTAAAACTTTATCGATAAATGAGTTGATGTTAGAATTACGTCGATATTTGCTGCTTCTGAAGACTATAACAGATAATAACAATGTTAATCGTTACAAATAAATTCTTTCCAAAGTGGATAGATCAAATTCACTTACACTCATCAATCTGCGTCACAAATGGCTTTGAGTGTGTTCTTTAAAATGGGAATTACAAATTGTGTGCTGTATTGCCGTTCTTCGAGATCGCCGGATTTTAATATGTTAAACGGTGCTTTAAAAGCTTCAATACTACAAATGATAAATACAATCATGATATTATATTAATGAATGCACAAATACAGAACGTCACTGAAGCCTAAACATACTATGGAGAGAGTATATTGTGTAATATTTCTTTTATCACTAGATCTTCGTTACTTTCTCTTTCGTCAAAAAGTCCGTGCCAAGCTTTTTCCCAATCGGCGAGTGTGTTTTTTGGCTAATCGAAAAATAATTAGGATTAGCTAGTTCAAAAAATAAATCGTTATTTCGTAAAATTATACCTTGAAAAAACTTTTAATTGGTTCTTCCCATTCTTTTTATATTTTCTGATCAGGATAAGTGTCCAAGATAAATTTCTTCCATGTTGCTTCTGGAATAATCTTTGTCAATTGTGAGGTGGGCCTTGGATCCATAATATCGCTATTGCATAGGCTGATAACAACAATGAGTAAAACGCGCGTTCTTCTATTACGGGATCTAAACTTACTCAAATTCATTTTCACATTCATCAGTGTATTTTTCGAAAACTTTTTCCAAATCAAAATCATCCATTGCCAACGCATCACTTTCCACGTTTCCAGCCATAGACGCTACTGCTTTTTGCAAATTACTATCGGTACCACTGATACCATCAGTTATAATATCTCCATTATCATCAAATGTTTCTTTATACTGTAGTTGAGATCTTTTTGCACTTGATAATCTTGACTTTCCGATGTTCCCGATTGAGCTTGCATAACCATACTTGATGAGAGTTTTTACGGTTTTCTTTTTCTGTTATGTACACAAGAATTTTTAGTAATAAAACCTTGTGACAGTATTAATAATTTAATCCAAAAAATACTAGTTCGCATACTAATAATCTCTGCGTCAGAGTATTCTTGTAATCCTCGTTGTGCTACTTTAAATCCCTCTTTCGTTATTTGGTAGACAGCTTCCCTCTTGTTGTAACAAAGTCCCCCAAAAATAATAATAAAATATGAAACCATCGCATGAATCAATGATTAATGGATGCCAAACCTTATTAATATCTAATTCCAAGTCAATTAAATAAGACTTTGCCTTTGATGAATTGATTTCATCCAAGTTTTCCCAAATCTTATCATTTTGGATGTCCTTATACAAAAATAAATATAAAGAGAAAAGAATACTTCGATTAACTCCTTTGGATTATATAATTTTGGAACAACTTGTCTATAGAGTGCCACAGATTCCATCCGACCAACGTTTTCATGTCCACGCGCACACGGAGCTACCCATCGGTTTTTGCACACAGGAAAAACCTTCTCAACGCGCGGTTGCCAGATTAGACATGAAGTACATCAGTTGAGTTTCAATAGCCACGCGCGCACAGAGCTACCTGTCAGTTTTTGCACACGAGAAAAACCTTCTCAACACACGGTTGCCAGATTAGCTTTTGAGTACGCTGGCACTATTAATCAATAAATATACTTCCCTTTATTTCGTCTTATTTGCAAGCCCCCATATAAGCAGGACTCGGAGTATCAAGTGCCTCCTTTAATCAATTTAGCTCATTCATTAAAATTTGTGAGAAAGTTGTTTTCAAAACTGGCCTATTATGTGGTTGTTTGATCCAAAAATGTCCCAACCATTTATACATCTCCAAGTGCTCGGATCACGATCCCAAATATCTATTGAATACAATTTTTTTATTACTCTGTTTGATAAGAATAGGAATAGGCAGGAATAGACAAGACAGACTCACCTGGATATCTCTGCATCAGACGACCTCTCCTTGACAAGTATTCCATATCGGAATGACACGTAAAACCGCGACACATATATCCGGATATGATTGGCTATTTAATATTTATAAATTTAATCTAATCAAAATAATCAAAATATACAGTATTTAACTAAAATCCTTGAATCTTTTACTTAATTTTTTAAATTAATTTCATTTTGATTTTTTTTATTGCACTAGAAAATTTTTTTAATTTTAATTAAATTAAAATCCAAAATTTGTTTGTTTTTATTGATTATTTTAATTTATAGTATTTATTAATTAATATTTAACTTTTTTATTATATTATGTTACAAATTAAAAAAATAAATTTTATTTAATGTACTTATATTAAAAATCTTCCTCTTGATGATGTCTGTTTTATTTAGAATTTTCATTTATAATAACTTTGATCAAGAAAATACTTTATATTCTTTATCACAAGTAAACTTTAATTTAAATATTAAAAAATATTAAAAATAATTGATACAATAATATAAACCTTTAATTAAGGTTTACTCAAGTTTGTAAGTCTTAGATTATGTAATAATTTTAACCTATAACTGTTTTATGGAACCTATACTGTATCTAGTAATCCAGATATTCTAAAAGATATTTAATTGGCTTTTAATGAGACATATTTTCAAATAATTATTAAACACATATATGGTATAATTTTTATTCTTAACAATATGTTATGTAATCAAGATACTTTAATTAATTACTATAAACGTAGGTTATTAAATTAAGAGTATAAGATTATAGAATATAAATATTTGTTTCTTTTTATTTATTCTTTTACTATTACTATTGTTATATTTTCTTTATATTAATTAAATGCACACGTCTTTGAAAGTTAATTTTAATATAGGTATTGAATTTTTATATCAATACATTTATATATTTTTACATTGTATGAATTCAACATATATAAAAAAATACCTTTAATAAAATTCAAACTTCTGTTAACATAAATTAAATACTAAGGTTCATTCTTTTTTTGAAATAATTCACAATTTATTTTAAACTTTTATCTAATTAATTTTATTCAAATATCATATAACTATGTTTTTTTTTAAATTAAATAAATATAATAATTACTTGGTTAGTTATGAAAAAAATATTATAAATTATCGTTTTTTCATAATAAATTTTCTTACCTGTTATATAATTATCTTTAGAGTTTATTACAATTAAAATATTATCAAACCATAACTTATTATAATAATGGTTTGTTTTAAATACAATTGCTCTATTTATTGTTATTATTGATTCAAATGTTAATAATGAAAATTTATTTCTAAGTAAATTTAATAATTATAAATATGTTTTTAAATTTTTTAAAGATTTTAAAAATTATTTTTCTATTTATCTATTCTAAAGTAATTTACTTTAATTTTTTTAGAAAGTTGTATACTTGTGAAGTTATTGCTTGCTTATTAGAATGTATTTTTTTATATATTAGTGTAAAAATATAAAAACAAAATGTTTTATTAAAGAGTTTTAATAAGAACAATATAATTTTATGGTTATAAAATTATTAATTACTTTATTGGAAGAGCGAAAGCATCCTTTTATAATAAATCACTGTTACAAACTGTATTAGCATGAAAGATAAAAGATGCAGTAATGTTCAAAAGTTATGAAGTACCAAATTTACAGATGACCGCGTCGATCTATTCACAAGACAACACGAACTCGGAAAAAATAAAAATCCTCACCCATTACATGGAAAGGCGAGAATCACGCAAAGAATCTCAAGCTCATTTAGGATTGATAAGTAACGAGCGCTTCCTAACAAGTGAGATTAAAAGCCCATTAAAATCTATTATTTAATTTTTCGAGCTTGGTTAATACAATAAAATGTTTGGATTTAGTGAAACTGCATGAGGATAGTCTTGTCAATTTTATTAAAAATTTTATATGTTTATGTAAAATGTGACAAGGTAAGAAATGACTTTCCAAGAACTATTAGGTAGTGTAAAAAATCGGGGCCACGAGATAAGAGAA